ATCACAAAAGAGATTTGTTTAGAAGGGCAACCCTTTTTTAATCACAAATTGAAATTCACATTGTTGATATTTTTGTGGAAATGTCAACAATGTGAACGGCCTCCTTCACATTTCTCTTAATTACAGCACAGTTTTTCATGCCATAGCAACAGATCTTTCATTCTGAAGATACTGCAAGTGATAACCTTATTATGTAAATGTTGCTTGGATGCTTACAATGAAAAGAAAGTACGCCCAATACTAAGTCTTTACATATCCATCCATCCACCCATCACCTTACATCACCTGATTTAGACACAACCTCAGATGAACAGAACCTAAGCATATTACACTGTGTTATTATTTATTTAATTTGAATTTTGGCAGCAAAATCTTCCCATGACTGGAGGTCCTCCAAGGTCAGACTGTGCAATACTCAGATAAACTGCAATAAAACAAGAGTTAGAATATTAAATTTCATGAAAGTACAATTAGAAAAACACAGAACATGCATGGCTTGTTTGGCAGGGTGAGGGCATCTGTCAATTAAAGCTCGGACCAAATTGGATCATACAACAGGACAATGATCCAGCACATATACAACAGAATGGCAAGAACCCAGTCAAAGTCCAGACCTCAACCTGACTGAAAGGTTGTGATAGGAATGTGCATGAACAAATGAGCACAAACCTCAAGGAAATGAAGCAACACTGTAAAGAAGTGTGGGCCAATCACGAATCATGGAGTGATTCACATTGTTTCTGCCTTTTGGCTTAGCTTTCGTTAAATAATGACACAGTGTAATATGTCATGTGTTGCTGTTCATCTGGGGTTGCATTAAATAATTTCAGAACCTGGTATTATGTCCTAGTATGTAAAACCTTAGGAGGACTGAAGGAGGGTGCTCTTATTCACATGACTTTAGGTCATGCATCTCTATTACAGACCTTGTTAAGTTCAGTCTGACATTTAACGGGTCAGAGAGCAGCAGCAGGAGTGTTTGAGTTGTGATTAGTTACATAAATAATTCCTATTTTTGGACAAAATTATGCAGCGTGATTTTCTTGTCTCACACAACAACAACAGCTCCACCACCAGAGATTAATTCATGAAAGCTTTCTGTGCTAGTAGTGGAAAAAAAACCCAGTGCAATCCAATTAAACAATTAAAGAGATGAACTAAAGAAACTAGGACTATGCGTAATGACAGATTTAGAGACCTGCTGACCCCTTGTGCCTGGGTCAAGACAGGATATGTTCCTCAGTGCCAAAAGCCAGCTCAAATTAAAGCTGGCTGTACAGTCTGACCTTTGGTGGAAGCTTTTTCTTACGTCTCAGTGAATTCAGAAATTACTTTTTTACATGTACAGTTCACTGTATGCTGTATATATGTATATTTCACTCATGATCAATGATATCAGTTCAATCACAAACTAAATATGTTAATAGCGTTAGAAATTCTAAACAAGTAATGTGGCATAAACAAAAATGATTGGGAGTAAAATAATACATTTGGGCCCGATTATCAGTGTACTGTTTAATGCATAAAATGTTGAAAAATAGTTTAAAAATCCCCTCAGAAAAATCTTTCCTGATTTGTTTCAGCAAAAGTCCAGGACAAAATCCACAAAAGTCCTTTCAGTGTCACTGAGTGTAATAAAATGTAAGAGTATTTGCGATATAAATCATATAGAAAAAGAAGAAAGATGAAAAATTATGTTGGCTGTGGAGCATTTCATTAACATGCTGGGGTTAAATGAGAACAGATTATTTAAAATGTATCAACATTGAGTGACACTTATAGCTAATATAAAATATATAAAATATTTGGAAAATGTATTTACAGAATGTTAATTATAACTTTTAGGTTGATGTGTGTACGTATCCTGCTCAGTTTCCTAAGCTGATGTACTCTTGCCTGCAAATCAGCCTGGATCTTCCCCTGATCCTTTTCAGTCAACAGCTCAGCTTTCTTAACGAAGGGGGCAGACGTTACGTGGTCGGGAAAAAAAACAAAACACAACAGTCCTCTTTGACGGTCCTCAGTGACTCACAAAATGTTTGTAGGTTCTGGTCTGCTTCACCTCATGTCTTCTTTTCTTTCTTTTTACTTTTTGAATATCGGCCTTACTTTATCAGGTTTAGCTTTTCATATTTATTTCTCTGACTTGAATTAAATATTAAATGTGGAACGTATTTAAAGTTGGATTTAAAAATCAAAAGAAATATTTGGAGGGTAAGGTGGTATAGTTTCTTTTTGTTTTGTCATAAAATGTTAAGCACACCTGTTCAACTGCTCGTAAATGAAAATATCTAAACAGCCAAACACATGGCAGTAACTCACTGGCATGCAGACATGGTCAAAATGATTTGCTTAAGTTCAAACTAAGCATCAGAATGGGAGAAACAAATTTGATCAAATGTTTCTGAATGTGCATCTGTATTGGTGTTGGTGCCAAATGGGGTGGTATGATTATTTCAAAAACAGTTTATCTACTGGGATTTTGTCCCACAATGATCTCCAGTTTACATGCTATAATCTGAAAAAGAGAGAGGCAGTTCTCTGCCTTGCTGATGTCAGAGATCAGAAAATGGCCAGACTGCCGCAACCTGATAGGCAGGGAACAAAAGCTCAAATAACCACTTGTTACAGCTGAGATCAACAGTAGACCATCTCTAAATGCAAAACACATCAAACCTAGAATACATGGGCTACAGCAGCAGAAGACCGTACTGTCACTCCCGTCAGCACAGAACGGGACACTTAGACTACAACTCGCACAGTCTCAATGAAACTGGGCAACAGAAGATTTCGAAACATTCTGCTAGGGCTGATATTCTGCTCCCTTATTGGGGGTTCAGGTTCAAAGTGGTAGTGCAATGGTGTGGGGGATATTTTCTTGCCACACTTTGGGCTCCTAAATGCCAAAAAGGCCACAGCCTGTCTGACTACTATTACTGACAATGTCCATGACCACAGTGCATCCATCTTCTCATGGCTGTTTCCAGCAGGAAGACACTCCATGTCACAAAGCTCACATCATCTCAAACTGGTTTCCTTAACATCACAATGAGTTCACTGTACTCAACTGAACTTCAGTCACCAGATATCACCTCTGGCATGTTGTGAAACACAAAGATTTGCATCATGAATGAGAAACCAATTGGTAGCAATCACGTAATGCTATCACAATCCATGATACGTTCAGCATCTTGTTCAATCTGTGCCATGAGGAATTAAGGTAGTTCTACCAAGTATACCTAACAAAGTGGCCGATAACTGTATGTTTACAAAGTGCAAGATTGTATTCCATATATAACGCTGCCTATTCACTATGGAACAAAGACAGGATGATCTAATAGAATTACATTGCGCAGTCCTAAGCTGAAATAGATCTGCATGTGTCATATCTACACATGGGCCAACTGCTAACTAATCCCATTGACGCAACAGGACATCGAGCTCCTCAAAGGACTTAAGAGGAGTCTGGGGAAGTTATAAATGACCATAGAAGAAGGATCAAGAAAGGAATCAGCAGCACAGAGTGATTCAGACAGCTCCAGCTGAGGCTACAGCAGCCAACTTGCCTTGGAATTCAGCTTTCTGACATCTGACTACCTTCCACAACCATGGAGCCAGTGGCACAGACAATGACTGCCACGACAGCCTTTGACAGAGAAACTTTCCCCAGGAGAGCTCTGAGAGCAGCCCCCAGAGGAGCCTCATCTCACTTTGTGGGGAGCTCTATCATCATCCTTTCCTCATTTGCCGTCTCCAGCTTAGCTATGAACTGCGGGAAGAGGATCCAGGAGTCCAGAAACAAACCCAACAGCAACTAGCAAGGTGGAGAAATGGATTTCCCCTCCATAGCCAACAGCTAGGCTAACCTAGCCAGAATCTATTTTCATATTCATATGACGGGAGCTGGAACTCCTAGCCAGCTGCCTTTCATCATCCTGTAGTAAAATGTGATGCATCATAACGTGTCCTGGAGAAAAGGCCTAGAAGAGGATGCAGCGTGGGACAGATCCGGAAAAAGAATGGCTGCGATTTCTGGAATATAAACATTTGAAGGTCATCTCAAAATTCAGCTGTGCTCTCTAAATGCACATTGTTGTATTGATACAGATTACAGAGTGGGCTTTAAAGAAGAGAAATATATGCAGTAATACCATCAAACCTCATCCTACTTCTACCTCATATCTGTTGCATGTAACACTGAAGACAACAGAAGCTAAACATGATTAAGTTCCAAATATCCACCCCTCGGTTGTGATAAAAATGTACCTTTTTATTTTTGAGATGCTTAGCAGAAGTTTTTGTAACATGTTGTTTTATGTTGTTTCTGTTCTTGGCAACCTGTCTGTTAGGACTGATGACTCAAGGAAAACCTGGACTGTCATTTTTATTTAGTCATAATATATCAAAAGATACCGTCTCCCTACAAGAGCTGGATACAGAATCACTCAGTGTATTATCACGTGAAATGCAACGACAACAACTACCAACTGCTGTGAAGTATTTGAAGATTGTATTAAGATACTTAGAACTGTACATTTTTCTTTGAAATGACTAATTTACAGAATTAAAGGCTGTTTTATTGTGACAATATTTATGTTGCTTTTTTGTTAAAATTAAAGACGCTTGTTTTAAGTAGCGCTGTGTTTTATTCTCAACTAAAAGCTACCCAAGAGCTACAATCTGAAGAAAACTGTGCAGAGTATGAAGTGTGTTCCAAATCTGCAATGGACCACTTCCATCGGTTTTTACTGAAAGTATACAGAATTAATAAGTTGTTTAGATTTGCGATGAAGTTGAAGATTTCACTGATGTCAGACTTCGATGAATAATTTGTTCTTCTTGTGTTGCCAACTTGAATAGTACTTGCTACATTCTGTTGATGCTTTTCATTCATTTTACCAATGGAGGGCAGTATTGGCATTACAGACTGCAACGCAATCCAGCAATGAACCCACCTTCGTTCTTGATGTATGGTACAGAATGCAGAACACACTTTAAAACATATTTAAACAACATCTTTATATATAAAAACAGTTACAAACAAGACAAATACAGACAGATGACTGAAGTTTGCATCTGTGTTACAAAAAAAGTCCCACAATGCATTTATGGCTTCCAGGATGTATGTGAAGGCCCTCTAACGTGTCTTTAGAGTGTGTTGAGGCTCTTCAGCCTCCGCTCAGTGAAGAAGCGGTGTGCCTGGTGGGTTGCATTTTGGTCGTTACCTCCAGCTGATACACTGAAGTAGGACAACATTGACTTGTTGCTCTGCCTCTGCGCTGCCTTCTCGCCATCCTCTTCATCATCGTCCCTGAGAAAAGATTTACGAGGACAAAGATTGTTTTTTAAACTCAGTGCCAACTACTGGTCTCCTAAGGTCAAGCGATTAGCACAGAGATTAAGTGTAACCTGTGATCTTGCAAGTATTCTTATCTAACAGACACACTGAAAAACAAAGTATTTTGCAAATACACTATGAGAAATTGGTATCAGCCAGATCTGTGCTCACAAATAGCAGAAACAGTATAAGAGCAGAATCACAGAAGGACAGATGCTCCTTTAATTGAGGATTTCATAACCAAAGTAGGACTTTGATCAGAATAGAGTTTGAAGGCTCTTTACCAATGCACATTAACCGCTTTGCTGTCCATTAGGGTTTGGGCAGTGCTCCAGCTAAATCGAACAAACTGAGGGTAGCCAAATACTGGGTCGAGGTACTTCAGCAGCCACGCTTTCGTCTTGGGATCTGGAAACAAAGAAAAGAGTGGGACTCAGTGCTAGTTTTTCTACAAAACTTTTACATGCAAATAAAATTATTTTAGCATAACAGTCTTAAGTAGGCAGTGTTAAATTCAACAAGTGAAATGTTATTTCAAACTGTTAATCCCAACAATGTCCGTCGCTAATGAAAACAGTGTCCCTTTGATGTAAATTGTAATGTGATATACTTCAGGTTACTTGTGTAACCCCGGTTCTCAGAATAGCATGAGTGAGATGTCTCACTATGGGATGGGCCTGACTTCATCATTAAATCTTAATTCACCGTGTAAATCATCAATTTTCACGTGGAGTCCCTCAAGGATCGGTTTTAAGCCCCTTGTTATTTTCATTATATATTCTTCCTTTAGGCCATATAATCAGCGGTTTCAAAATTATTTCCTACCATCTGTATGCAGACGATATCCAATGATACATCTCCTTTAAACCTTGGGAATTAGACAAATTATCCCTCTAATGGGCTGTCTAAGGAAATTAATGGTTGGATGACAAACAATTTTTTGCAGTTGAACGCAGACAAGACTGAGCATTTAATTCTTGCCCCAGAGAGTATCGAGCCCCAAATTAGTCAAAGTCTGGGTTCTTTCTAATCCTCGATTAAAGCTACTGCTCCGAATCTTGGGATAATTTTTGATCACTCTCTGTCTTTTGACAGAGATCAGATCAAGTCTATGACCTGCTCCTGCTTTTTTCATTTAAGAAATATTGCTAAACTTAGGACTATTGCCTCCAGAGGTGAAATGGAGATGCATGTCCATGCCTTCATCTCCTCCCGGTTGGACTATTGTAACCCACTCTTTTCCTGTCTGTCTAAGGCCTCCTTAAATCACTTTCAAAAATGCTGCAGCACAGTAATAAATTCTCCTATATCACTCCCATGTTAAAATCCTTGCACTAGCACTAACTATGTGATATGCTTTTATACTTCCTTAATATTGTTATATTGTTTTGTTTAGTATGCTTTTATATTCCCATGTGAAGCCCTTTGCAATAGCTTCTTGTCTTAAAAAAGTGCTGTATAAATACATTTTACTTACTACTTAACTTGAGCTCCCAGGATGAAGTTGAGAGTGCTGCCTCTCTCTCTCTCAGAGAGAGAGAAGGAGCGGTGTCTCGCCCACCCTGCGTGTCCTAAACACTTGTGTTATGGGGACATCTAGTTGCAGAATATGGTTGTAACACCTAGATAACACTAGCACGCGTAGGGTGTCAAGCTTCTTACAGCATCGGCTATAGCAGTGTTTCCCAACCACTGTGCTGCAGCACATAGGTGTGCCGTGGAAGAATATCTGGTTCGACCTGATTAGTACTCTAAGCAACGGGCAGAACAATTACATTGTCTTCCACTAGAGGGCAGTACAACTACATGCTTTGATTAAATGAGTTGCTAACTGCCAGGGAAACAGAAGACAATGAAGAAATTACATAATACCGGTAGTCATGCTTTGAGACAATGCAGTGTGTAACAGCAATCGATAAATATTTGAAAAGAAAAAGTAGTCAATTTAACCTGGGTCCTGTTCAGAGCCAGATGAAGGCCCTAAAGGTAAACTGGGGACAAACGAGCCCATTCCGCTATACCTGATGCACGGGGGAAAATGATCAATATGTCTTATGTGACATTTTTGTTTGGTGGTGTGCCGTGTGATTTTTATAATATGAAATATGTACTGTGGCTCCAAAAGGTTGGGAAATCCTGGGTTATAGCATGGTTACTGAGGTGGGCAGCAGTGCCCTCTTGAGGCAGCAGTGCCATAGTGTTGTTTATTGACTTTTTGAGCGCTCTAGACAAACCCCAGTGCCACGGATTGGTACCAGTCCGTGAGTCGTTTGGTACCGGGCTGCGAGAGTTGAGGCTCGGGTGTAGAATTTATGGTTTACAGGATTTTTAAAACCGTTAACTCGTTTTCCCTGGGTTTTTTCCCGTGTTGTAGTCGAGTGTCTTATTTTGTTATTTTGAAAGAAATATTTACGCATCACCACAGCGACCAGAGAACATTAAGGGGCAGAGAGGAGGATTTTATTCTTAATGTTGATGCCGCATTTAAGGAGGACGCTGCTAATAAAGTTACACAATTACACAGTGAATTTGCGTTAATTATTATATTTACAAAATACCACAGTTTTTGCCTTGGTTGTATCATTTTATTTTGCTGTATTTATCCGCGATACGGTCCGTGAAAATATTGTCTGACATTAGACCAGTCCGTGGCGCAAAAAAGGTTGGGGACCACTGCTCTAGACTGTGCCCTCGGCAGTGAGTCTGGACACGGCGGGGGGACATGTTGAGTGTGCCTGTGTGACTTAGAAGTAGCAACAAGCAACATACTCCGCAGACTTGGTGTGCACTTTTACTCTAGATTTTGTCGCCACAGCTAGCCTAAGCAGGTTGAGATATGCTCCGAAGCGAGAAGAGGTGTTTTAATACAAGTTACATAATACTGTAAGCTCTTTAACAAATTTCCCACGCGTGGGACTAATAAAGGTTATCTTATCTTATTTAAGGGTGGGTGGTTCTGTCCAAAGTGGTAGTGGCAATCACCAGCCAATCAGGATTTGTGGAATGAGATAAAAACTTCTGATGAATGAGCTTCTGGGGGAGACGCATCCCATAGTGAAACAGTGAATACAACCATGTATCTCTTCATAAAAAGTGTCAGCATTAAATATATTGTATACTATATAAAGCTGATGCAGAAATTAATTGTAAAAAAAAACAAACAAAAAAAATTTTTTTCCAAAGAAATGTTTGTTTTTTGTTTTTGTAAATGGCACAAAGGCAGTGATATGTAATAATGTAATAAGTCATATTTTTTCCATTGAGGCTAAAGTAATTCTACACTGTTTATGTGCCATGTTTAAGTTCAAATTTTCACTGTGTGGCCCACCCCAGCTTTAACAGCTACACTAAGGTATATTAAGTGCATGAAGTGCATTTAATTTAAAGTTAACTAGTTAACTAGGTTAATATGACTTATCATTTATGGTCAGTGTAAAATGTTTGTACCCACACTCACAGCAACATTTCAGAAGTTTGCTCTACTTTATTGTTCCACAGCACTAACTTTACATACTTTTACTTAAGCAAAACAAACTTTTAGTTTAAAATAAAACATGTT